TACAGGAACTGTTGGGAAGCATTGGTCAAAGGGGCTTACTGACAACAGTTGGACAAGAGCGCTAAGAAGAAAGAGAAAAGACCTGATATGAACGCCGCTCTTCCTAAATTTTAATCACACGCTGTTAACTTCGTGGAGTCATTCGCTCGAAGAAATCGCTATGGCATCGGGCTGTGGCCTCTGGGCTTAGACTACACCCTACAGAATAGAGCAGCCGAAACGCAGGTGCAGATAGTGAAACCCACCGCCGGAAGCGGCTTTGCAAATGGCACGGAATCGGAGCACAAGAGTACTAGTCACGCCCTACGCGTCGTGGCAAAATGGATCTTCTGCGCCGCTCTCCCCAAACGCGAGTCAGATTGAACAACCCCGGGAACTATCGATCTGTATGCATAGGAGTCACGATTTACTTGCAATAATACCTGCACCTTGTCCGCTGCTTCATTTTCGAATTCCAGTGCTGCCCGACGGCAGTTCACTTCCCGAGATTTCTCATCAATTGTCACATATTCATCGTCATGCCTTCTTTGAAATGGGAACTGATATCTGGAAATAGAGTGGAAGCATTCTCTGATGCTATCATTCCTAATGATTTCTGTCTTTTCATCTTCGGGGCGGGGTTAGAAAACAGTTAACGACCTTATTCTCATACGATTGTATTTATCTTTCCCAGCTTCAGCTGCCTGAATTCTGCACATACAGTCCTTATAGTGCAAAGCATTGCCAATCGATGGAGCAGTCCCAGGAGTTGTGAGAAGAGTCCACCCGCTGGTGCGTATTCTGCCAGTAGTCACCGGTTCAGGCTGGCAACTAGAAATGGTGCAGCGACTGGGCTAACTCCTCACCTACTTACAACGCCCCGCCGCTTTGCCTCGTTAAGCACTGTACCTTAGTAGTCAGGAGGCGCATTCTTTTGCGGATTGTTCTCAATCAACTTTTTCTTAAGACCACGAAAAAAAGCCGACTATTTAGCCTGAAGAGTTACCCTGTTTTCCGTAGATCCGCCAACCATTTCAGCATGAGCTGCACATCATTAGCACCCCAGAAGTCTCGTTCACTGAAAAAAAATTCGAGAAACGTCTTCTATACTGTGGAAAGTTGTGCTTGATCTCAACAAAATAACTGAGAAATATCTTTGTGGCGTAATCTGAGTGAACCTATACTCTCACTTATGCGGGTGCAGAGACATGTCAGGGCAAGGAGCCAGCCTTTTTTCTAAAATTGTGGAAGCTGACGACTCCACTTGGTCGAAAGGCAGCGTTCAGACTTCGCGACGGCGGCGCATCGGCGGCACGGTCGAACGATCGATCGCGGCCGCGTGCGACTGCGTCGATCGCTCGAGCGCACGATTGCGGTGGCGTACGATTTGTAGCGCGACTGATTAAATTGCGCTACAATGTTCTCTGAATAAGACTCCGTAACGATGTGAATATTATAGACATGTGCGACGGAGTCCCCCTCCTATCCCCTTCAGAATTCTCTTTACTTGAAAGCAAGTCACACGATAGGTCGGCAAGGCATGAAGGGTTGATACGCCCAGCATAAAAGAATGTCGTGCCCAACAGCAGACGCCCTTTTTCAACCAAGGGCTCCGTAATAGCGCTTAACCAAGATGCAGCGTGCCATCCCAGACGCCCACCGCAACCGCCAGCCCATGAACGGCTGCACAGTTACCAGGACGCTA